GCTGCTGTGACTCACTGCACACACAGCCCGCGCCTTAGCACCATCCTCTGACAGCCACAGCCTGGTGTCCCCCCGCTGCGCCCTAAACCCCCCCGGGCAGCGGTTAGCAGGGAAATGCTTACTCTGGGTGCTGGCTGCGCCCTGCGGCAGGGAGAGGCAGCTCCGTGCGGGATCAGGAGAGGTGCAGTGGGCGTCAGGACCTCCCTCCTGCTGGTCCCTGCCCCTCTCCCTCTGCCTCAGTCCCTGGCTTCCCCCTCGGCAGGCTGCCTTACTGGAGGAGCTCCTTCTGCCCGCGATCCGTGCGGAGGTACCGGCCCAGCTGAACGGTGAGGGGCTGGGGGCTCCGCAGCGGCACTGGCGCGCAGGGCGCACGGCGGGCACAGAGGCAGCACCCAGCCTCCAACTTTCCCTCTTTTGTTTTTTTTTCCCCCCAGTGGTCCTGAGCAACGGCGTGGTCCTGCCCCACGTCTCCAGCTTCGCCTACACCGATGTCAACGTCGTGATTCACAAGGTGAGAAATCAGACCGTTAAGCTGCTCCCCACTACGCTTGATTCAAAGGGAACCCGGGAGCAATGCTCACCTCTTGGCTCCATGGGAGCCTGCTCCTCTAGCCCTGTCAACCCCCAGAACCAAGCTTCACCCCTTTGGATAGGCACAGCTCCTCCTTAGCCCCACTGGCTCGAGCAATGGCCCCGTCAGAGGGGCCACTGGCCCACGGGGAGCCCCATGCAGGCTGGCACAAGCCACACGGGCGCCGTGCTCAGCCCTCGTTCCCCCCCCTGCTCAGGGCTACGTCCTGGTTCCCTGCAACCTCAGGCTCCAGGCGAGGACCGGAGCACAGACCATCGCGGGCTGAAGCCGGGTGTCCGGGGCCGAACGGGCCCGTTGGCTCCGCACTCGTGCTTTGTGTTTTCTCACTGCTGGAACTGTTGGGAATCTTCTTTCCTGCCCTCCTAAGAGAACGCCATCCCACATTCAGGGCAGCAATGGCATTGCGCTAGCAGCTCTCCCTCCCGGTCCTGCTCCTGGCATTTTGGTTGCCAAAGAGGAGGGACTGTAACCATGTTCCATACTTTAATTAAACATTTCTCTTTCACGCTGCACTTTCTGCTATGATTAGTGACTTTTTTTTCCCCCTCAACGATTTGTACCTAAAGGCAGATGAATTTTGTCTTGCCAAAAGCTGGTGCCAGTACAGATGCCCAGACCTTACATTTAATCAAGGGAGCATGAAAATCCCCCTAATTTGTAAGGCTGGAAAGCAGCCCCGTGCCTCTCGGCATGGAACAACACAGCCCCTAACGGTGAGCGATCTTTCATCTGCTCTTCCTCCGTTTCTCGTGTTACTATGGGAACATTGGGCTGCTGGTTTTCCCTGGGTCAGAAAGAAGGGGGGAAGAAAAAAAAACCAACCAACCAACCCGTCTGCGCACGGGTTTCTAACTCCAGACTTGGAGCTTCCATTTTCAAAGCTACGCTTCCGACAAAGCTCCTCATGAAGAAAACGCTGACCGAAACGACCGCCCGCGGTGCTCGCGCCGGCTTGGCACGCGCCTGCCCCAGGCACCAGCGGCTCCGTTTGTCACTGTTGGAACGCCCCTTCCCACCGACCGAACGCGCCTCGGCGGCCGAGAGGGTGTTCAGCAAACTAAGGGGGGGCGGGGGGGAAGCCCACAACAGACCTGAGTGTCCAAAACAGAAGGGTGGGCAACTGCCCGCCTTGCTCCATCATCGGGCGCCCGTGCGCAGGAAGAGCAGCCTTGCTGCCCATCGGCAGCTCTTCCCTCACCTCTCTTTTTGCGGTCTCGGCTCGGAGCCCCAGCCCCCACCCCCATTAACCACACGCACGTCTGCTTTCACTCGCCACAGCCACGCACATCATTTCCAGCCTCTGGAGCTGCTGAAAAGTGCTTCAAACCCTCATATTTCAGAGCCTCAGAAATAGGGAAGCCAACAAAACAAGCCAAGCTGATTTATTATGAGGAGTAAAAAGCCCTGAAGGTTTATATGCCCAGCCTGGGGACCTGACTAATGACTTTAATGCCCGGAGTTGGCAATAACAGGAACTGCTCCTAATCAAAGTTTCCCGGTAGAGCCGCAACCATCATTCTTTGGCTAATACATCTTGAACCAGTTTCCCAAAAGGAATAAGCTACGGTAGCAAAAAGGTGCATTCAGTTGCCGGGGATATTCCACCTTTAGGCTTTACTGCACGGCTCCGCAGCGCCAGCCTAGGGTTGGGGTCGAGGGAGCTGCACACCCCGAGCCCCAGCCCCTCACATCCTACCTGGCATCAGCCGTGGGCTCGGGGACAGAGCCGCCCTGCGCTGGGGAGCTGGGGTCTTCTGCGGCTCCCTCCCGTCGCCCAGCACAGCTGGAGACAGCCAGCGTTGTCCCCAGCAGTCCCTTGGGGTTCACCTGCAAAAAGAAACCTTGGAAAAAGCATTTGTATTAGCATCTTTGGCAGAAACAAAATCCATCATTTTGCCAGGCAGCATCCCAGGGCCCCACAGGGCACACGGCTTCCCTCACCGGAGGCACACGGAGCAGGACGTGACAGCGGATGGGTCAAATGCTGGAGAAACGGCGATGAGCCCTTGGCCAGCCCCCGTGGACTGGCAGCGGGATGGAGCTTCACCAGGGACGTACCTGGGGCAAGAGCTGGGGAGCCCGAAGCCCCGCGCACAGCCCAGGCAGAGCAGGCAGCCCATCGCACCCCGCTCCTGCTGCTCACCCATAAGGAGGTTTTCCAGCATGTCGGGGTGCTGGCGTGCCGGAAAATGACTGTTCCATGGTTTTCTGCTATGGCCAGGGTTGTCCCAGTGCTTAGGAATTCCAACTCACAGTTTCTTACTCTGCATTTACACCTGAGCCCACCAGCAATCCAGAGCGCCACACTTAGGAGTCACAGAAGCAAATGAGTTACACCAAGAAGGTGCGAGTTACACCAAGGAGGTGCGAGTTACACCAAGGAGGTGCTTCCCTCTCCTTTTGAAAAGGTCCCTCTGCTCCTTCCCGCTCAGCCCTGGGCGACAAACAACGGGTTTGCTCATCCTGCCCACCGGGTAAGGGGGTCAGGCAGCCCCCCCCAAACCCTGCTCTGCCCGCACCATGGGCATGCCGGCGCCAGAGCGCACAAGCAGCGGGGCCTGGAGCTCCCGAGCACAGCCTGATGCTCCGCAGTGTTCCCTCGTGTTCACCCCCTGCTTGGCAGAAGCTCCTCACCCGCGCGGTTGGGCTGGGGCCGGGGCCGCCCGCAGCACGCTGCCGGAGTGGGGAGTCCCAGCACCATGCAGGAGCATCACTGCTGCCCAGGGACGGGGCAAGGTCCCTGCTACCAGCAGCTGAATGGCCTTTGGAGAGCGTGGTCCCACCAGCACCGTCAGCCGGCGCGGGACCGGGAACCAAAGGAGTCGTTCAGACGCACCCAAACACCGGTCTTCAGCATTACCGCGTGCCTCAACCCCCCCAGAGCCCTCCTGCCGTGACACGAGGCACGGCAGCCCACGCGATGGCAGCGGGTGGCACCGGGCTCAGCACCAGGGAGCTCTGGGCAGCTCGCACGGGTCCCGCGCATCCTCCGCTGCGCTCAGCGATCGCTCTGCAACGCCTCACCGCGGTGCTGGAAATCAAGGCAACAACCAGGGGCCTTGGCCCGGCAGATGCTGGGGGATTTGTCCCTTTAGGCAGAAATGCGGAGCAGGATGCTGCCCCTGCCCATGACCCCACGGGAGCCACGCGCCTCCCGAGCCCCCCCGTGCTCAGCACCACCAGCTCTGGGGAGAGCAGCACCCAACCGCACACAAGTAACCACCTCGTGCTGGGACAAACAGGCGCGTGGGGCCATTTAAGACCTCAGATTTATTTATTTTCTACCCAGAACCGTTTGTTTTTCTGA